CTTTGCTTGCTTTTGGTTACTTGCTTTTTGTCGACTTCAGAAATCACTAATTTTGAAGGTCACACAGCTGAGCGATGTATTATTAGTCTCCCAGGAGCTCTGCTGTAGATAACACCTCTGCCGGGTGGATCATGATGATAATGGTTGCCTAGGTTACTTTTCAGGGACCTGAAGGCTGCTTTTGTCCAAATCACCAACTTCGCTTGAAACTGCAGGTGTTCCAAGGGTGACCTTTTGATATCAAGAGGCCCAAAAAGCCACCCTCAGGGTATATTAAGACCCCCACTTTCTGTATCCCACAAAGAATCATGAAGATTGACGATGCAGACACAGACCAGTGATCAGATCCATTCCAATCACCTGCCCCATGCTTTAAATCACCTGGCTTCTTTATCCCCCAGACATCTACAAGCCCCATCCTCTGGGAGGTGGAGTTGAGTCTTGGTTGCCCATCTCTGTGTGTGGTTGTCTTGTGAATAAACTCTTCCTCTTTTGCAAGATTCATTTGGTGTGGTAGACTAAACTGGCCTGGTTTGGAAATCTTTTTTATAAAATACTATAGTATCTGCATATAACCTACTCGCATCCTTCATTTAAATTGTCTTTAGAGTTCTCATAATATCTAATACAAGGCAAATGCTATGTAAATAGCTGTCAGATTATATTGATTTGGGCCTATCAACAAGAAAAGTCTGTACATGTTCAATACAAACATAGCTTTTAAGAAAAGAGTTTTGATCCCTATAAGGACGGTTGCTTGGTTGGCTGGTTGGTTGGTTGATTGTATCCACAAAGGTGGAGCCCACAGACACAGAGCTGTCTGTGTTTACAGTGAGTGTAGGAGACCTCCTTGAGGGTTTTGAGGCAGATTGAAAGGATCTCTCTAACAAATGGCCAAAGATAACCCCAGTCACCCTGCAGTCCAAGCAAACATTCATAGCCTCAGTGATGCTACAAGGCAAAAGGCAAGCCAGGGCAGGGAGGTGGGAGCCCATGGGTCCCCACTGGAGTACTTGAGCTTGTGCTGGGTGCTTTTAAGGGTGAGAACCAGCTCCCAGGACACAACAGGCGAGGAAAAACAGTTCAGCAACACAATATTGTAGGGTTAAAAAAAAAAAAAAAGAAACTTGAGTTTTTTTTTCTGCTTTTTCCTTTTCTGGTCCTTTCCTGCCTTGCGTGTTTCCAGAGATCAAGCCCAGGGCCTTGCACGTGCGAGGCACCACACAGCCCCTGGCTTCTTTTCCTAAGGCATTTCCTTGAAGAAAAAAACAGTTGTGTTTGTAAATACAGCATATCCTCTTTCCCTCTTGTGTGGGTTTACATGCACACTGTGTGTGTGTGTGTGTGTGTGTGTGTGTGTGTGTGTGTGTGTTTCTTGTAGGAAAACAGGCAGAACAGAAACTACTAGTTTAAGTGAACAATGCAATGACACTAAGGACATTCGCCTAGTTGTATAACCATCACCACCATTCCCAGACATGTTCACCCAGAACAGAAACTGTACACCCAGTAAGCAAGTACCAACCACTAATAACCACAAGCCAACACGCTGGCCCTGTGAATTTGCCTCTCCTAGCTGTTTCCTTTAAACGGGACTATCTAGACTGCCTTTTTGTGTCTGGCTTCTGTCACTTAGCGTAAAGCCTCAAGATTTATTCATATCATAGAACCTGCCAGCGTGTTCCTTTCAGCGTTCAAGCAACTTTACATTTATGTCTCGGCTACATTGTGCCAATGTTTTCAAAGGCTAAATAAGCTTCTGGCCAGCACTGGAGCCAGGAATGTTATTCTAAAGGGTCTGGTATCCCTCTCTTTGAAATGTAAATATCAAGCAAGCCGAGGTAAGATCCCTGTCACTGTGAAGGTTTTCACTTTGCTCTTTGTCCCACGCCATAACCACCTGCTCACAAAGATTTGAGAAGTTTTATTATTCCTTGAGGCATAGGCAGTTGGTCAGCACAGTGGGTATTCTCCTTACCAGGCAAGTTGATGAACTAGAAAAGAACGTACAGCAAAAGACAGGGTCAAGCCTCTTACCTGAGAATGAGTTATCACAAATCTTAAACACGTGGATATAATGTAGTTCTTGGATGCATGTGAGATCACCTTTGTGATCTTGTGAGCACATTACATGTTGCAATGTATCTTAATGTTTATTCAATAATAAAGCTCCCCCTTCTAGCCAGCTGTGTCTATAGGTGTCTATAGGCAGACACCTATAATCCCAGCTTTCTGGGAGGCTGAGGCAGGAGGGTTGCAAATTTAAGCCTGGCCCAAGCAATTTAGTAATGTTCTATCCAAAATAAGGGATTTTTTAAAAAAAAGTTTGGAGATACAGCTCAATGTGAAGGCCCTGGGTTCAAGCACCAATATCGTAAAAACAAGAACAAAACCAAGCAAGTTTTTTTAAAGAAAAAAAAACACTTCCCTTGTTTTCTACAGTGATGGAGGGCATTTCTTAGGAAAATGAAAGTTTACTTTTTTCTTATCTTTGATCAGGATACAGGGAGAATAAGGGGTTCCTGCCCAATGTCACTGATAAGAAAGTAACAGAGGCTCACTGATCAGCTCTCCAGCTGTGAGGTCAGTCTTTGAGACTGGTTGGAAACTATTTATCCAGATCCAGGCACCAGCAAGGCTGAGAGTCTGTTTTTAGGGGGGGGAGGGTAACACAAGGTCTCCTCTGCAGCCCAGGCTGGCCTCAAACTCACAGCGATCTTTTTGCCTCGGCCTCCCAAGTGCTGGAATGACAGGCATGCAGCACCATGCCTGGCCCGGCTGAGAGTCACTTTGCTAGTTCTGCTCTCAGGCATCCTGATTCCCTAGTTGGGGAGAGGTTTTGCTGCAGCCTCTGTCTCTCCCTATTTGGAAATTGAGCTCTCATGGAATACAAGCGTCATGGGACAGGGTCCAAGGAGGTCCTGCCCAAGAGGAGATAAGCGCTCAACCCTCCCCACCCATGGGGTCTGCTCTTGATTTGTCAAGGAACAGCATGTCAAAGTGCATGATGAGAGCACAAACAGATTTAGGAGGCAGGAAGGGAGTGTAGGTGTGCAAGACAGAGGTATATGATGGTCTGGAGCTACGGGGGTTATATAGTCTTGGGGGTAGCCTCAACATGATGATCCAGGATGTATATTCCTACTATCAGGTACCCATTTAATCATGCTACGTCCTTGGTGGTGGGAGTCTCCAGAATTTGGGACTCTACAGTATCAGAGAAAAGCAGAGGCTCAATTGACAGGTGAAAAGCACAGGATTAGCTGAGCAGGTTGGGTGCCCACAAGACTAATCTCAGCAGTCTGGGAGGCTGAAGCAGGTGGATCTCAAATCTAAGCCCAGGATACACGGCACAAGGCTTGGCACTGAACTGTACCAGTGCGGTACTGTTGTGATGCACCAAGGATACCCAGCCATTCACTGCTCTCCAGGTTCAAATGCTGGTTGTTGTCGTCATGACTTTGAACCAGTGATTCTGATTCTCATCTTTGGAAACTTTTGTTTTCCTTTTCTGTACACTAGGCTACAATGTACAGGGAAACAGGAAGGATTGCCGTACCGAAGACAGTGCTGAAATGGATACAGGACAGCTGTCCACCTCCCGCTATCTGCCCAAAGTAGGACATAGATATGGGAGGGGATGACTCTCCCCCACTATCACAGAGGGCCAGAGCAAAAGATTCTTCCAAAGTAAGTTGAGTGCTGGGCACAACACTAGCTCAAGATTATTGTCTGCTCTTTTCACAGCACATGGCCAAGAGCACAATTAGGCAGCAGATCTCAGTTAGAATCTGGTTTTCTAACCTTCTGAGCCTCACTTTCCTCATCAGTTATTTGGGGAGGGTGCCAGTTCCTAAAGATTTTGGGAAGACCTGACGAGCTGCTACACAGAGAGCGCTCCCCATGCATGAGAATATGTACAACTTTTGCCAATTAAAAAAATTAATTGATTTGTAAAAGTCGATGTTACGAGCCTGGCTTGGTGGGCATATGCGTGTAAGCCTGCACTGGAATCCTCCCTAGCCCTGTGGGAGGCTGAGGCAGGACTGCAAGACGCTGTCACACACACAGTTACTATTGTTTGGAGCAGAGGCATCGCCCAGAGCCGCCTCGGAAGCCTACAGCATCGTCTTTTCCTACTCCTCTGGACCAGCCGTGGCCACAGTGTTGGGGGTGGGGGGATGGACGCTCTTTGGCTCCGCCCCCAACAACCAGTGGGCGGGGCCAAGCGGGCGCCCCAGTGCGCGCGCGCGCGGCGGCGGCAACGGTGGCGGCGGCCTCAGGTACGCGGACAAGATGGCGGCGGTAGCGGTCGACAGCGCGATGGAGGTGGTGCCGGCGCTGCTGGAGGAGGCCGCGCCCGAGGCGGCGGGCCTCAGCTGCCTCGTCAGCCTGCCGGGCGAGGTGCTGGAGTACATCCTGTGCAGCGGCTCGCTGACGGCCGCCGACATCGGCCGCGTGTCCAGCACCTGCCGGCGGCTGCGCGAGGTGTGCCAGAGCAGCGGGAAGGTGTGGAAGGAGCAGTTCCGGGTGAGGTGAGCCCGCGCCCGCGCCGCGACCCCCGGGCCGCCCGGCCTCGCCGCCCCCGCGCCGCGCCCCTGCGCCGGATGCCGCCCCGAGCTTTCCTCCCTCCGCGCGGCCGGCAGACAAAGGCCTCAGGCCGCCGGCCGGGCCCCGCCGTGCCCGCTCCGGGCCCGATGGCGCTGGGACGGACGCCCTGCCTGCGCGGGGCCGGCGGCGCCCACCGCGCGCGGCGGGTGCGTTTTGCGCGCTTCTTTTGTGCCCGACGCCGCGCTGAGTGTTTACACGGAGCCGACGATGCGGGCGCCCGGCGGGCGCAGCATCCCCGGGCGGCTGCTGTGGGCAGCACAGATTTCGAGGTCCCGCCCCGCATCGGATCTGGCCTGCAGCCTCCCCTGTGATGACCTTGCGGGAGAGGTGGCCGCTTCCCTCTTGGAAGCCTCATTTCGACCTGGAACGCCGCTGACCATTGCACCTACCTTTCTAACGTGGCCGGGAAATGAGATGGTGTCCTAGACACACGCACGACAGGGTCCTGCTTTTAGGAGGCGGCCCGTCAATGTGAACTGTCATTGTCACTGTTATTACTATTATTGTTGCCACCACCACTGTCCTCATTGTGGAGATGAGGGAATGGAGACACAGCCTTCATGTCGGCACGCCAAGGTCACATTATTTGAGTGCGTTCATTGCCCCGTGCAGATTTGAACCAGGTCCATCGCCAGGGCCCCTCTCCCCCCAGACCCATAACGCCGGCTCTGTTTCCCAAGGCCGCCTTTGAGTCTCTGTGAAACTAAGGGGGTGTTTCTCTCCTTGTAGGTGGCCCTCCCTTATGAAACACTACAGCCCCACCGACTACGTCAATTGGTTGGAGGAATATAAAGTTCGGCAGAAAGCTGGGTTAGAAGCCCGCAAGATTGTAGCCTCGTTCTCAAAGAGGTTCTTTTCAGAGCACGTAAGGATTTGTTGATGTCGCTAGAAAACGTTCGCCTGCTGGTGGTGTGTGCTCCCGGGTCTGTAGGCATTAGCTCATCCAGCTCTTGTTGATATCTCCTGTTTGAATGCTCTCACAGGCCCTTACCCACTCTCCTGGCTGCAGGTCATTGTGTCCCTTCCCTCCCATCCCACAACACGAAGCCATTTGTCCCTGCCAGCTTCACTTTTCTAAAGCCAGAGAGAGAATGGGAGTGGAAGGGGTAGGGAGGGACCCAGTACAATGTGGGGGGAATCCAGATCAGCGTTACTCCTCTTCAATCAAGTAGGTTAGATGTGGTTTTGGGTGTTTTGTTTTGTTTTGTTTTGTTTTTTTGCAGCTTTCACATGATTTGGGGGATCAGCAATGATTGAACACTATAAATTTCTCCCAGTTCTTTGCCCACAAGGGTTGACAAAATTAATGTGATTCTTCTCTCTGGCTTTTCAGGTCTACCCAGTAGTGAACTCCATTAATTGTTAAGGTAACAGGATTAAAAAAGCTACCTATAAATCAGAATCATTGCTTCCTCAAATTAAATCGTCATGCATTCATTAGCCCTGAAAAGTTGTTTTGGTTTTGTTTTCCAGTTTCTGAGATGCATGTTTTTTTGGTCCTCCACCCCAAAATGTCTCATGTAAATTTCTGTATCCATCCCAGATTCTTAGCTTTTTGGAACTTTAGAAAATAGTCCACTGGAATCTTAACTGATTAAACTATTAGATTTTTATTTCTGATGGGGCGTCTACAAACAGAGCTGATCATATATTTTTTTTACTACCCTGGATTACTGAAGATTACTTCTGATTTTCTAATTTTAAGTACTCCATGGAGTTTGTACATTTGAAATGTTTTCAGGATATTCCAAGTTCTGAAATGGCAAATTTGAACTTTGAACAAGTTTGAACTTATTCCCCTGTGGAGTATAAAAATCAACATTCCCTAAGCAGAATGCATTGCTCAAGTGTTTCTTAATGTGAGAATAAATAGGATTTGTATGCTGTTTTGGAGAAGGTGTGTCCTGGCGAATTCACAGTGGCAGATAGTGAATCCAGGTTTAAATGTGTTTGCACACCCAGGTATTTTTAGCTCAAGGCCTGTTTGATGCCGTTGGCTATGGGCTACTAGTTTGCAGCCTCTGCTTCTGGTCCAACTGGTTTTATGTGCATTTTTAACAGTCTGTGCATTTGTCTAATAGTGATGAATTGTTGTGCCCCTCACCCCCAGCTGCCTTTCCCTGTACCACTGCTTAATTAGAAGTGTGTCAGGGACTTTGAACACAGCAGGAGCATACTTAAGATTGATCTGTGGGTGGGTGATTGCTTTGACTCAAGCCCATGTGTCCCAGTGTTCTTGGGATGTACACAGGTTAACCTGAAACATCTTGGCTACTTTCAAAAAGAAAAGTGGGTGGAGGCATAGCACTTAAAACTACAAGAGAATCTTAAAGCTGGCTGTGCTGTCACTTCTACTTCGGACAAGCAGACATACCCAGCAGGTTAAAGGAGTGAGTCCCACCCCTTCACGTAGTGGTGCGCAGTGTAAATAAACTATATGAAATGGCTGTTGGGAATTAGGAGGTTTTGTAGTTCTAGCCTTGTTCAAGAGCTGTGTTTCTTCACAGTAGAACACTGAATTAGCAGTTTTAGAAATTCCAGTGCATGAAAAAGTAATTAATTTAAAATCATAACACAAGCTTAACACTCTCTGTCACTCTCTGTCAATGTGAGACAGTGCAGAATAGCTGTTAGCAAGATTTGTGTATGAGTGACAGCTACTTCATACTCAGAGGCCTTCTTTTGTATGTCTCCTTTATAGGTTCCCTGTAATGGCTTCAGTGACATTGAAAACCTTGAGGGACCAGAGATATTTTTTGAGGATGAGCTGGTGTGTATCCTAAACATGGAAGGAAGGTAAGCCATAGTTTTCAGAGGGAATTTTTTGAACAGTGATAAGCCCAGAATACATTGCTGTAATCTGTTTGTGACTGAATCCTGTTTGTGAATGTGTTTCATGTCTTGCCATAGATCATTTAAAAAGTTCTGTGTATGTGAGGTTAATACACCAAGAGAATTGATACCCAGATTGCTGTCTGTATCTGTGGGTTCTGCATCTGGGATTCAACCAATCTTGGATCAAAAATATTTGATCTGTGTAAAAGACCTGTGTATACTGAACATGCGCAGACATTTCTTTCCTGTCATTGTTCTCCAGTGATGTAACGGTTATTTATGTAGCATCTACACCGAAGCTGGTACTATAAGAAGTCCAGAGATGATTTAAATATATGGGAGGATGTGTATAGATCATATGCAAATGTTGTGGTGTTTTCCTTACAGCACTTGAGCATCTGTGAATTTTAGCAATGAGGGGAGGTAGAGCTAATCCCCTCAAGGATACAGTGGATAACTACATAGAGAAATCTTGTAAAAAGCCTTTGAGAAGGAAAGGAATTAATGTTTAGCCATGCAGCAGCTGGAGCACTGTGCTCTGACACTCCACTCTGTTAGGAAAGCCTTCAGTGTTATAAATTTTCCTTGCTTTATAAGCACCTCTCCCCCTACCGCTACCAAATATACTTGTCATGATTGTATCCTTTTGTAAAAAAATAACTTCTTAAACATGTCTTAATGTAATGGATTATTTACTTACTTACAATTCTTCAATTGTAGTAAGAAATAGTTTTATCTTGGTCTTGAACATTGTAGCTATGTGGCCAGGCTTTTCTTTTAGCTCCCAGTTAGTAACTGTGTTGCTAAACTCCTTTCCTGAGTAAAAGAGTCCATAGCAGGTTTAGGAGTGCTCATCTGTAATCCTACCATGCTTTTGTTCTTCTGTTTGCATTGGTTCTATCATATTGTCTTATTGGATTATATTATGTGTGATAGTATAAACAAATTTTCTATGGAAAATGAGATAATATAGTAGCCATTGTTCGTTCGCTGTTATTTGGTTCTAAATGCCCTGTAATACTTTCATTCTCTTGAATGATTTTATACTATTTCGTTATGTTTGATACTGTTGTATATGAAGTTATACTCAACTATTTCAAAGAAAGAGACATTATGGTAGTTCTGTTAATTATGGCTGTCTTCTGGTGAAGTACTGTGTTGCTTACATTGTTCTGATCGGATCTGTTTTGTCATGTTCTCTTTTGTCTTAATCTCTTTAAAATAAAAAGTTAAAAATCCCAGCATTCTGGGAGGCTGTGGCAGTAGGATGAGGGTTTGAGCCTGGCAAGTCCTTATCTCAAAAGAAAAAAAATGTTAAAGGGAGGGCTAGAGATGCAGCTCAGTGTGAAGGGCCTGAATTCAATCACCAGCACAGAAAAAAAAGAAAGAAAGCAGTCCATTATTTCTCTCTTGTTAGATGTTTGCATGTGGGAGTGGGTATTGCTGGGAATTTTTAAAAACTTTTTGAGAGAAGATGTCATTACGTTGCCGCGGCTGAGCTCCAGTTTGTGATCCTTCTGACTCAGGATTTTATGCCTTTATGTTTTCCTTTTTTTTTAATGCATTATATTTTCTGCTGTGAAAGTTAATTTTCAGTTAACCTGAAAGATGACCTGGCTTCCAGCCTAGTTTGCCTGTGGTAAAGATTTTCTGCTCTAAAAGTTTGGAAAACTTCACTAGTGATGGAAGATAAGAATGCTAGTTTAGCATCTTCCTCAAAAGAAATCATTTTGAAATATGACAAATGAAGCATAAAATGTTTTTCTTGCTTGGAGGAGGATTTGAGTGAGGTGAATGCTCCTTAGCAGAACAACTGTGGGAGAGGTAAAATGTGTCTCTATTCCAGGCCTTGGAGAGTTCAGATGTGGGGTCACTTTCCTGTTTCTATTTTGGTTTATCTATAAATGAATTAAGTATGATCTAAGACTATTGCGCAGCCTTAAAAATAAAAGCTGACTTGTGCTTTTTACAGACATACATATATACTTCGAAATACATGGGTGCAAGGCCATCTGTCTCTTACTGGTCGTTTAATGTAGACTTGCTTTTTTTTATTTATGCTGTGGCGCCTTCCTACTGCCTCCTTTCATGCTGGCCTTCCCCGCCACACTCGTACCTTCTGATAATACCGATGTGGTCGTCTTCTGGGATGATACACAGTAATATCTGTGGGGAAGGGAAAAGCAGGATCAATGGGTATTTTTCTTTTTTTTCCCCTCACTCAACTTTACCCTAGGGAAATTCCTAATCAGTTGGTAAAAGACCAGATTCAGAGCCGGAGATATAGGTGAGTGGTAGAGCACTTGCCTGACAATATGTGAGACCCTGTTTCAATCCCCAGCCCCGGGGGGGAAATGGCTTTTGTTAATGGCCACCTATTACAGCGTCCACCACAATTTACTTAACTGTTCTGTGTAGGTGGGCAGCCACTTTCTGTTCCATTTTGTCTCCTGGTGAAGAGTAGTATCTGTAGCAGTTTTATTCCTAAGCCAAAAATTCTTGGGAATGAGTTTCCTAGATCAGACTATAGAATATTGTGGTAAAACATAAAATGAGAGAGATTACTTCCTTGAATGCAAAGTCTTTTATAGCAAAACTGTTAGTTGTCTCCAAATTAATATGTAAATTGTATTCTGATTAAACAGAGCTTTGAGAGGGGCAATTTCTAGTTGGTTGATATTGTCATAAAATAAGTACAGAAGAATAAAGTTCACAAGAAACATCAGGGGGAAGAAACTAAACATTATCATGAGATATTAGAACATATTCTAAAGCTACTTATAATCAAAAGAATGTAATACTTAACTAAATATGGATGAAATGTGACCATGTATGGTAATGTACAGTTCAGAAATAGGCCGAACAGAAAAGATAATGCATTTAAACCGAGGGAGAAAGG